TGTGGGTTCTTTGATGGATACGCAGAGTCCACTTTCACTGAAGCTCTTTCCACATTCCATGCATTTATGTGGCTTCTCCCCTGTGTGGGTTCTTTGATGGATACGCAGATTCCCACTCTGACTGAAGCTCTTTCCACATTCCATGCATTTATGTGGCTTCTCCCCTGTGTGGGTTCTTTGATGGGTACGCAGATTTCCACTTTCACTGAAGCTCTTTCCACATTCCATGCATTTATGTGGCTTCTCCCCTGTGTGGGTTCTTTGATGGATACGCAGAGTCCCATTTTCACTGAAGCTCTTTCCACATTCCATGCATTTATGTGGCTTCTCCCCTGTGTGGGTTCTTTGATGGATACGCAGAGTCCCATTTTCACTGAAGCTCTTTCCACATTCCATGCATTTATGTGGCTTCTCTCCTGTGTGGATCCTTTGATGGGTACGCAGATGTCCACTCAGACTGAAGCTCTTTCCACATTCCATGCATTTATGTGGCTTCTCCCTTGTGTGGGTTCTTTGATGGGTACGCAGATTTCCACTTTGACTGAAGCTCTTTCCACATTCCATGCATTTATGTGGCTTCTCCCCTGTGTGGATCCTTTGATGGGTACGCAGATGTCCACTCAGACTGAAGCTCTTTCCACATTCCATGCATTTATGTGGCTTCTCCCTTGTGTGGGTTCTTTGATGGGTACGCAGATTTCCACTCCGACTGAAGCTCTTTCCACATTCCATGCATGTATGCGACTTCTCCCTTGTGTGGGTTCTTTGATGGGTACGCAGATGTCCACTCTGACTGAAGCTCTTTCCACATTCCATGCATGTATGTGGTTTCTCCCCTGTGTGGGTTCTTTGATGGATACGCAGAGTCCCACTTTCACTGAAGCTCTTTCCACATTCCATGCATTTATGTGGCTTCTCCCCTGTGTGGGTTCTTTGATGGATACGCAGAATCCCACTTTGACTGAAGCTCTTTCCACATTCCATGCATTTATGTGGCTTCTCCCTGTGTGGGTTCTTTGATGGATACGCAGAGCCCCACTTTCACTGAAGCGCTTTCCACATTCTATGCATTTATGCGACTTCTCCCCTGTGTGGGTCCTTTGATGGGAACGCAGATGATCACTCCGACTGAAGCTCTTTCCACATTCCATGCATGTATGTGGCTTCTCCCCTGTGTGAGTTCTTTGATGGATATGAAGAGTCCCCCTCCGACTGAAGCTCTTTCCACATTCCATGCATGTATGTGGCTTCTCCCCTGTGTGGGTTCTTTGATGGATATGAAGAGTCCCCCTCTGACTGAAGCTCTTTCCACATTCCATGCATTTGTGTGGCTTCTTCCCTGTGTGGGTTCTTTGATGGTTATGCAGACTCGCACTGTGACTGAAGCTCTTTCCACATTCCATGCATTTATGTGGCTTCTCCCCTGTGTGGGTTCTTTGATGGATACGCAGGCTCGCACTGTGACTGAAGCTCTTTCCACATTCCATGCATTTATGTGGTTTCTCCCCTGTGTGGGTTCTTTGATGGATACTCAGATGTCCACTGTGACTGAAGCTCTTTCCACATTCCATGCATTTATGTGGCTTCTCTCCTGTGTGGATCCTTTGATGCTTACACAGAGTCCCACTTTCACTGAAGCTCTTTCCACATTCCATGCATTTATGTGGCTTCTCCCCTGTGTGGGTTCTTTGATGGATACGCAGAGCCCCACTTTCACTGAAGCTCTTTCCACATTCCATGCATTTATGTGGTTTCTCCCCTCTGTGGGTTCTTTGATGGATACGCAGATTCCCACTTTGACTGAAGCTCTTTCCACATTCCATGCATTTATGTGGCTTCTCTCCTGTATGGGTCCTTTGATGGGTACGCAGATGTCCTCTCTTACTGAAGCTCTTTCCACATTCCATGCATTTATGTGGCTTCTCCCCTGTGTGGGTTCTTTGATGGATACGCAGAGCCCCACTTTCACTGAAGCTCTTTCCACATTCCATGCATTTATGTGGCTTCTCTCCTGTATGGGTCCTTTGATGGCTACACAGATGTCCTCTCTTACTGAAGCTCTTTCCACATTCTATGAATTTATGCGGCTTCTCCCCTGTGTGGGTCCTTTGATGGATACGCAGACTCGCACTGTGACTGAAGCTCTTTCCACATTCCATGCATTTATGTGGTTTCTCCCCTCTGTGGGTTCTTTGATGGATATGCAGAGTCCCACTTTGACTGAAGCTCTTTCCACATTCCATGCATTTATGTGGCTTCTCTCCTGTATGGGTCCTTTGATGGGTACGCAGATGTCCTCTCTTACTGAAGCTCTTTCCACATTCCATGCATGTATGTGGCTTCTCTCCTGTGTGCGTCCTTTGATGGGTACGTAGATCTCCACTCTGACTGAAGCTCTTTCCACATTCTACGCATTTATATGGCTTCTCTCCTGTGTGAGTTCGCTGATGTCTAGTAAGAGAACTTCTCGCAGTAAAACGTTTTCCACAGTCCATACAATTATGTCGCTTCTCCCCTGTGTGTGATTTTGACAAGGAATTGAGATATTCCATTCTTTTACATTTATGATTCATATATTATGCCAGGTCACAGATATGTTCTCCTGATTTCGTCTTCTCAGTCTTTGTATTGCTCTAGTCCATTAGAATAAATAAATTACCAAGCCCCACTGTTTACAGCACAATCCTCCCTTTCCTCCTTGAATACACAGCTATGTAGCTTGAAATATAATTTCTCCAACTTATTTCTTGTGAGTGCTGTGTATTTTAATTTCTGACCTAAGTCAAAGGGAAGTGTTCTTCTCAAGGGTCATTCAGAGGTTACCTGCCAGAGAAATGAGAGGAAAATCATATCAGGATCAGAGCACAGAAACATCTCATTGAACAATTTTTTTCCTGACTCTCTCTTTCCATGCATTGCGATCCCTGCCCCACATTTTTAAAGCAAGGAACCTCGAGACATGGAGAGCATATTCAGCCACAAAGTTCCTTCACATATTGCATTCTTTAAAAACCTGTACCACAAAGGTGTGAAACATCAGGCAGAACAAACAATGAGAAAAACAAAGGAAAATGCAAAATTCTATACTGACACCATTGTGAGTGCGATGGTGAGAGGAAAATCTTATCAGGATCAGAGCACAGAAATATCTCACTGAACAGTAAGAACAATAGCTTCGTGCTGTAGCCAATGCAGGAGAAGACGGGAGAAAGAGCGGTCCTATGGAGAAGAGCCTTGGTCTGCTGAGAAGTACTTTAGCACTTGCCCAAAAAAGAGCAAGCCCTGCAAAGGGGAGAGTGGCCCACGATTCTCTGCATGAGACTGTTTGCACTGCACTCAAGGACCGAGGCAGTTGAGTAGTTCGGCAGCTGTATCCGCGACTGAGCAGCCCTATTGAGGACCGACTCTGCTCACCCCACACGGGGAGGGGGCTAGAAAAGGTGCCCTAAACATAGTCTGCCTCTCTCATCCCTGACTGGACTGCCGCGTCCAGTGGGGTCACCACCCTGCGGCCAAAAAAGAAATATGAACTTCGGTACATGGAATGTACGAACACTGATGGACAACAGTGACAGCAAACGTCCTGAACGCAGAACTGCCATCATTGCAAGGGAGCTGGGACGCTTTAACATCGACATAGCAGCCCTCCAGGAGACCCGGAGAGCAGGAGAAGGACAGCTGAAGGAAGAAAAAGGAGGCTACACTTTCTTCTGGAAGGGACTGCCTGAAGAAGACCAAAGACTGC